AACATATGCAGACTTTCATCTTTCTTTGTTAGAAAAAAACAGAAAAATCTTAAAACTCAGTGTTTTCGCTGTACATAGAGGGGTTAAATAAATTGACTACCTATAAATTTCTTATGTTAAAACAAGGCTTTAAGGAATTTCATTCCATCACTACAAAACAATTACACTGATTCTTTGGTCATATATCACATTATGTATCATTCCTAAACATACTTTAAAAAATTAAGAGTCATAGATTCATTCTTTCCACCAAAAATCTTCTTTTCCACTTTTCCCCCTTTGTTAATGGTACCATCATTAAACATGTGATTCTAAAACTAGTATTTTCCCCAAACTCATCTTCTTCCAAATAACTGAGTTGTAATTTCTTGAAACATTATTTCTTGCATATTCTACTTCCAAGACTCTAGAATTCAGGACTTTGCTTTCCCTAGAGTAAATTATTATAAAGTTTTTGACTACTCTCCCCTATATACATTACTGACCCCGGCTCCCTGAAATACAAATGCAACAAAACTCTTTTGTATAATGTAAATCTGGTAAAGTTCAAGCAATACACACACATACACACACATTTTTAACATTTCATATTCCAACAAAACCACTTGTTCCCAAAGATTTGTTTTCAACAAATTTTGGATGTTTTACAACTTAATTGATATAGAACATTTCCATCACCCCAGAAAATCCCTTTCTATTTCCTGTTAAGCTCCCAACATCCACAGCCATCCATCATTCTAGTTTCTAAACTAAAAACCAATTATTTGCTCTTTACCTTCATAGAAGTATTATAGAATCTCACAGTTACCTACTCTTATGTCTGGCTTCTTTTATTCCATTTAACGTTTAGTATTCGCCCATGTTATTGCATGTATTAGTAACCATTCTTTTTAATAGTAATGAGTAGCAGTGTACTATCTGACTATACCACATTTTATCCATTGTCCTGTTAGACATTTGGGTTATTTCAAGTTTGGGATCATCTATAGCAGCACACTTCACAATTGCAAAGTTGTGGAAACAACCCAAGTGCCCATCAATATATGAGTGGATTAATAAAATGTGGTATATGTATACCATGGAGTACTATTCAGCTTTAAGAAACAATAGTGATATTGTATTTTCCTGGATAGAGCTGGAAACCATTCTACTAAGTGAAGTATCTCAAGAATGGAAAAACAAGTACCACATATACTCACCATAAAATTGGTATTAAAGGATCAACAACTAAGTGGACATGTAGGAATAACATTTATCAGGTGTCGGGCAGGTAGGAAGGGAGAGAGGGGATAGGTATATACAAACATAATGAGTGAGATGTGCAACTTTTGGGGGATGGTCACGTTTGAAGCTCTGACTCGATGGGGGAGGAGGGGCATGGGCAGTATACGTAAACTTAACATTTGTACCCCCATAATACACTGAAATAAAAAAAAAGAAAAAGAAAGTTCTTGATACACATATTGTGCAGGTCTTGTACACTGTCACTGGATAAAAAACTCAAAGTAGAAGTAGTACATAAGTTAGTTTGGCATAAGAAAATGCCAAACTATCTTCCCAACTATTTTATACCCTCAACAGCAATAAGATAGTTTCATATCTTCATCAACATTTGGTGTTGCCAATCTGTTTAATTTTAGGTGTTCTAGTTGGTGTAAATGCTATCTCATAATAGTTTTAACTTGTGTTTACTTCATAACTAATGTATCTTTTATATACTTATTACCCACTCTTATAACTTCTTTTGCCCATTTTTAAAAATTGGGCTGTTCATATTTATCAAAGTATAAGAGTCCTTTCCTTTACAGATACTTTAGGATACAAGCCCTTTGTCAGATATATGCATTGATATGTTAATATTATTCTGTCCACAGTCTTGCCTTTTTACTGTCTTGATGTCTTTTGATGAGCAAATTTCCCCTTTTGATCAAGTTTCTAATTACTTTATGATTATTTGCATCTGTGCTAAGAAATCATTTACCCCAAGGTTTATGAGTTTATCGTGATTTTTTTCCTAAAAGCTTTACATAGTTTTTACAGTTTAGTATATAATTAATCTCATTTTTCTGTATGGTATGATGTAGGGTTTGAGTTTCTTTTTCTATTTTTAATGTGTTTCGAGCTGTTCTGGCACTATTTGTTGAAGAGACTTCTCTTTCCCCATTGAGTGACCAAGGCAACTTTGTAAATAATCAATTGACCTTAAATGTGAGCTTATTTCTGAGCACTATCCTGTGGCACTAACCAAGCTAATACTGCTTTAATTAACTATAGGTTTACAGTCAATCTTAAAGTCAGTGTGTTGCAACTTTTCCTTTTCCAAAATGGTTTTAGTTCATTTTATTTCCACATAAATTTTAGAATCTACTCATTAATTTCAACTTAAAAGCCTACTGGGTTTGATTAATTACAGACTAATGCCATCCCAATTTGGAAAGAATTTACATGTTAATATATTGAGCCTTCTAATTCATGAACATGGTCTTTCTCTCTCTTTTTTTAGGTCTGTTTAAACTTCTGGTAGCATCTTAAAGTTATTAGTATAGAAGTCTTACACATCTTTTGTCAAATTTATTCCTGATATCTTGTCTTACTGATGCTCTTGTAAGTGGATTTCTTAAAATTTCATTTTCCAGTAATTTGCTGCTAGTATAAGGAAACAATATACTTTTATATATAGAACTTATACCCTGGAATCATTCTAAATTCACTTATTAGTTCTACGAAATCTTTTGTGGATCCTTTTAGGTTTTCTATTTTAAAATAAACATGTTGATACTACTTCTCCTTTGCAATCTTTATACCTTTTATTTCACTTGCCTGATATAGATAGAAAGCTACAAAAAAAAATTGTGAAACAGACACCCTTGCCTAATTCCTGTGTTTAAGGAGAAAATATTCAACATTTCCCCATTAAGTATAGAATTTGTTGTTAGTCTTTACAGTTCTTTCTCTCTTAACATATTCCTGTATCTGTTCAATCATTATGTCAGTCTTCTCCTTTATAGTTTAACATATTTATCATCTTTGCTAACTCTATTAATCTAGATAATTTTTAAGTCTTCTCCTATTGAATGCTTCTTGGTAGTTTACAGGTTATTTTCCTGCTTCTTCACATGACTTGTAATTTTTGATGGTATGCTAGTTATTATTGAGAATAGTTACAGGAACACTGAATCATGCTGTCTGCCTTAGGGGGTAGTGTTTTTGTTTTGGCAGGCAATTAAATTACTGGCGAATCCTTTAAATTTCTGTCAGATTAGATTTTCAATTTAACTAATCTTATTGATGGCTCTTACTATAAAGAGTGATCCTTTAAGGACTGAGCTTTCGTAGTCTAATGGAATGTCTGAGGTACTCGGCAAGATGTCTGCATTCTGACTTTCCAGAACTCTTAATGTCTGACTTCCCACAACTGCAATGACTTAGAGCACTGCTCAACATATGGAACTACCATTTAGCTCTCAGCCCCAGAGCAGGTGACTTCTGACAGACTTTGCAAAGTCTCAATCTGCACACACACAGAGCAGCCATTATCCAAAATTCTGAATGAAGTGAATCTATACACCAAATTGCCCCTACCCTATGTATAAACCTCTAGACAATTTCCTTTTCTCCAGGGCCCTTTCCCACAAATTCAATGTTTGAACAGCTCTGTAAGACCTGTATGCTCTGCTTGAGCTCCACTTCCCTGTGCTATAGCAGTAAGGTAGCCCAAAGCAGAAAGCCAAAGTGATCATGAGGTTCACCTCATGTTTCCCTTCTCTCAAAGATCATGATCTTGTATTGTTTGCTCATCAATTCCAGACAACAGTTGTTTCATATATTTTATTCATTTATACAGTTTTTGACTGGGGAGATTGGAAAAGGGGAAAAAGCTGTGACCAATTACTCTGTCATAGCCCTAAATATTAATTTTAAAAAACATTTCCATTATCAATCCATAATATATATTATTAAAAAGAGAAGCTGACAAAGCAGAGTTAAAGACACTTGAGCCTATTAGGTCAATTATTTGCACATGGTACTTTGACTATCAAAATCATAGCCTCGTGATTTTACTTTGTAATCACTACATAGAAAAATCAGTAATAATGATGTGTTGACAAATCCCTCTTCACATCATTATGACTATGTTTGTTAAGTATGTCCTTGTAATTTTTAGTTAACTAAACTGGAAGGGATGCATATGTATGTATAAGTAATGGCTATCTGAAGGAAATCAAAATGTCTTCTAGCCTTTTAAGATCCTTTTATTGCCCAATATAATTAATTCCTCAAACAAGTAATTCAAGAAAAAATAATAGAAAAAAGGAACTTCGGTTTGAAGTAAATAATGTGAAATGTAGAATTATAGGTAAATTCATTCAACAATAATCAGATTCAAAATTTGGTTCATCAGCCATAAAATTAAGGTCTAAAATTAATCTGTATTTGTTTATAGACACTACAAACAACCAACATTATTTCAGACATATATAATTTAAGAAAAACTCTATCTTTGAAAGTTAAACAAATCATCTTAAATTTGCAAGTTGACAATGTAAAAAAATTGTTACAGCAAAGAGAAAGGTTCAAACCATTGAAAGAAAACAATTATGTAGTTGAATTTTTTGGTTTTTATTTAAAGTTTGGGTTTTAGGATTTATGGGCATAAAGAAATACTTAAAGCAAAATATTCTATGATTTAAAAAACCTAAAAAAAAAAAAACACACACACAAAAGGGGTGAGTGAGGGGATTATAACATGAAAGAGAAAGGACTGTCTCTTTGTGATCCAAAAAAAAAAAAAAGGGCAGTCAGACTTATGAGTTACTTGCCCACAAGTCACCAACTTCAAGATTTTTCCACTGGACTCATTTATACACTAGTAAAAATTTCCTCTAAAATGTTTCAACATAGCATTTAAAAAGAAAGGATACTCTGAGAATAAATTTTTGTTTTAACATTCTGCCCCATAAAATGGCAAATAGTGACAAACTGTTGAGAGTAATACTTACCTGTAACTACCATGCTGCTCATATTAGAATTTGGACTACTGAGAACACTGCCTGAGAGTAGTTCGTCAGATCCTCTCTATAAAAACAAAAACAAATTAGCGTAAGTTATCTTAAAATTTAAAAATATTAATCTGAAAGCCTATTTATGCACTTAAACAAATATAAAATGTTACATTATTGGGAATAAAATGAAAAATTAACTTCATCCCTCTACTCTCTCATCTATCTGTCTCCCTGTCCCACAAAGGCAAGTGTTCCCTCCTGTCACTCAAGTCCAAAATGCAATAAATAGGAAAGATCATTAGCTTCCATAATTAAAACCTTTGGAAAGCTACCTTTCCAAAGGTAGCTTTTTTACAAAAAAAAAAAAAAAAAAAAAGAAAGGAAAAGCAAATTCTAATGCCATACAATCCTCCATCCCAAGAGCCTCTTCAGATCCCTTTGTTCATTGAGATAACTCAAGTCTTAAGAAAATGAGAATTTCATATTGGTGAGTTGGACAACATCATCTTTATTAAAATAAAACAGGTATATAGGGCTACACCATTGAAAGCAAAAGCAAAATACGGAATGAGAAATTTCTTTCTGTTAGAATAAAAAGAGATAGCATCATACCCTACCATCTTTTAAAGAAAAGGTTAAAAATGTACGTTTTAGAACTGCACAGTTGTTCAAACCAGTGATGCTTTAGTTATTTTGCAAATCTGTGTATTTAAAAAAATATGTGTGAGTAGACTAATATTTAAACTAGCTAAATCAACTCTTTTGCCTACTTTAAGTATGTATATATTTACATACATGGGTATTAATATTTAAAATAGCTAAATCAATACTGGCTGATCTAAAACAACCAATCAGCATAAAAAAGTGGAATGCAACCATCAAAATGAAAAAAATGTATAAAAGACATAATTTATTGAAGCATTTCAGAAAGTCAAAGAAAATCCAAACTAACCATAAGCCTTATGCTAATTTATGTTTAACTCATAATAAGCTTTCATATTACAACAAATATGAAAATGGTAAACATATTCTAGGCCATCTCACTTAAATGTTTTAAAAGCTTTCTGCTCATCAGCATCAAATGTTCAGAGAAATACTAGTATCAGAAAAATCAAAGCATAGTTTCATACCATATTAATACCATATTTGCACATCCAATTTCTAATCAAGATATGGAAGATTTGGCATGCCATGCTTAGTTGTATAAGGACATAATGAGCAGAATTAGATATTTTAGTGATTCTCAAAGTGTAGTGAGACCTAAAGCAGCAACAGACCTGGAAATCTGTTGGCAATACATGTTCTCAGGTCCATCCTAGACCTACTGAATAAGAAACTGAGGGTGGGGTCCAATAACTCAAATTTTAACAAATCCTCTTGCTGCTTCTGATGTATGCTAACATTTAAGACCACTGATATATATTATATTGGTCCACTATACACAACAGAAAATGTTGCCTAGGTTCTATGTTTTCATGACAAATATACAATATGGTTTTAAGTAAAACTGCTCTGGAGCTCAGCTTCCACTATCAGCTATTTAACAGTACTTAACCATTCTAAACCAAACTATTCTTCATTTGTAATACTGGGTAATATCTACCTACATCACAGCCCTTAGGATTAAATGTGATAATACATGAATAGGGATTGCCTGGCAAAGTACCTGGCCCACATCATAGTGTTCACTATAATATTCCCAAGTGTCAATCAAATACAATTTCTACACATATTTACTGACTAAATAAGTTAACCAATGCTGATTAATAACAACTGCTACATATTTTTTGGTCTTTGTTCTTTGATCAAAAAACTGTGACTCAAGTTACTCCACATACAGAAGCAAAGTCAGCCCCCACCACAGGATGAGGAAGTAAATAAAATCAGCTCTTCTGTAAGTCAACAGAACTCCAGATCAGATATGCTAAAAGTAAAAACCAAATAAAACCGTAAAGAGGTCCTTAATGTTTTAGTCACCCGCACAAAATTTGTAACTATTCAAAATATTTTTAATTTCTTATCTCCTTAGTTTTCAAAAATACTTTTAATTCCTCTAGTTTTCAAAAGTACATCTGACCTCTTTTCGAATGTATATTATCAGTTTATTTTTTAAATGTCTGCAGAATCAAAATCTTTCCATACGTCTACTGTAATACATACTTCCCTGTAATAATACTTGTGATTACAGTGGATCACAAATAATTCTGGAAGATGATAGGTGGGGAATCTTGGGTCTACTCAAGTATAAAACAAAACCTCTAATTCTGACTTGTAGTGTGCAAGATGCTCTCTTCTTCCTTCCTGCAATACTTCTTTACACATGGCAAAGTGTTTAATTTTTTCTTTGAATTTTGTATTTGTGGTCTTTTTTCTTCTTCAAATGATTTCATATCTGCTCTTAAGAGTAGATCTAATAGCCTTCGTAAGTGCATCAGAAGAATATCAAATTATTTGTCATTTTAAGATTTTATCAAAATTACTCAATAAATTTTTTATAAATTACATTTATACAAAACCAACTGTGTTTGCTTTTCCATTGAGTAAAAACCTTCCATTATTGCGCCCAAAAGAAGTGATTCTGCACTATTGATAAATGTTAACATTACCACACTGACTGATGGAACAATTTCACTTGAATTATCTCAGCCTAGTTGTTTAACTTGGAAAATATATAAAATGAATGATCAGTGGTAGTGATTGATGGGCTGTTCCACATTAGTGACTATTGAAACAAATCAAATTAATGGTACTTAAACTCAGAATCAAAATTTGTACTAAGAATATATATTTTTTAAAAATTTTAATTCATCTAAGATAAATGTCAATTGATCTTGAATTCAACCTAAAAAAAGAAATTAAATGTTTAGATTGGCATTGATGTCTCTTGTTAAATCTAATCACAGAAACTTTTCTTCCTGTATAATATCAATGACCATTTGGAGAAGTCAGTGTCCCAGAGAAATTAGGAAAATGCTGACACAGGAAGATACAAGTTGTAGGTCAATAAGTCAAAGAAATGACTTTTTTTAAAAGTGCAAAAGTTCAGATTAAAGGCCATTTGGCATTCATTCCAATGATACAAATGTCTTATTTTTTCTTCTCATGGTTACTGAATATTCTTTTCATCATAATAATCTAGTCCAACTACCAGCTATCATTTCCAAGTGGAAAAGCTGCTAGGGCTGCCAGGAAGGTAAGCAACTGATGGCTGAGGTTGACAAGAGTCCTCGGGCTCTGCTAGGGTTCAGGACTGAGAGCTGACCAAACATGTTCTCCTCTGGAGATGTCAACCTAAGGAACCACAACAGAAAAACATGGGCAAGGACATGAGTATCAAGTTCCTAAGGAAAACCATATTCTCCAAGAGGAAGGAAGATATGCACCAACATGATTATCCTGGACTCCTTAAACATAGAGGTGCTACCAAGGAAATGAACAGATAAACTGAGTGCTACCTACCTATGAAAGGCTGGGAAAACACTAACTCACACAACCAATAAAAATACAGAAAACAGTAATACACTGAAGAATATATGTCTTATCTGCTTAGTATAAACCAAAAGCTAACTTTAAAAGAAAAAAAAAAAGACAACAAAATAGACAAACCTACAAGGAGATAAAAAAAAAATTAGGACAGCACAATTATACATAAACAGATCCCACAGCAATGACAAAAACCTAGAGATTAGTCAACAAGATGAAAGTAACTTGGCCCAGTGAATAATCTTATGGAGCACATTGACAACATTTTCTTAAACCATGAGAAAGATTTTGCTATGAGAAAGAAATAAGCTTCTAGTCTGTTTATGCTACTATGCTCTGCATTTATTAATAGTTATAGTAACTCAGCCTTTACCCTAAGATATATATACCTATAATGTGGAGGGAAAAAATGGCACTGCAGATTTCAATTTAGTAGCCTATCTCTACAATGGCAAAAAAATGAAACTGCATCCCTAACCTAATACAAAACACAAAAAATAACTTTCTGATAAAGACAAATGTAAAAAGCAAAATTTTAAAAAATTTTAGAATGTATGAAAATATCTTTATGAACACTGAGTATGTAAGGACTTTTTATATTAAGACACCAGAAAATTAAACATGAAAGAAAATATGGATAAATTATACTACAAAATAGCTACATAATCTCCATGTAAGAAACTGTATTGCAACAACAGTTGAAAACCTAAAAACTGTTGTTAGGGACTGCTTTAAAGACTTCCAACAATTAACATGAAGATGGGATCACATAAATGATTTTTATCCAAGATGCAAAGGGAATTTGTGGCCATATTAAAACTCTATACATTAAAATTAATAACTTCCATTCATTAAAAGACAGCACAGAGAAGTAACAATGCAAGCTACAAACTGGGAGAAGGTAACAGCAAAACATACAATCAGCAGAAAATCAGCAATCATAACACAGTTTTAGAAACTACAAAATCAGTTAAATAATAAATTGAAATTTTTATGAAGATAAATACACAAAAAGACATTTCATAAAATTTCACAAAAGAGAAACACCAGTGGTCACAAATGTGGGGGGGAAAAGATGTAACACCTCCTTAATAATCAGGGAAAGATGAAGACAGACCAAAGGAAGTACTACACACCAGACTGGCAAAAATTAAGAAATTAAATATTTAACCAAGTACTAGTGAGGATAACAAGAATTCTTAAGCACCACTGGTGAGAACATAAATTGGAACTACACACTGGAAAACAATCTGTCTTGTAAAGTTTAACATACTCCACATCCTAGCAATACATACACTTAGCTATATAAGCTAAAAAAACTTTTGCATAAATGCACCAGGAAACAAATACAAAAATGTGAACAGCAGTATTGTTCTTAAAGTCAAAAACTTTAAATAGCCAAATGTCCACCAACCGAAATGTCCAGGAAAAGAAATAAATTGAGCATTTTCATAGACAAGTATTGAGTATTACATAATTACACACAAAAAAATATGGGTAGCTATTAGAATCATTATGAATTAAAACACAAGTCACAGAAAACATATGAGTATACCACTTTCATGCAGCTCAAAAAAATTAAATGTATTT